GAGACAGATATTTTAGATAATTTTTTCAATAGCTTTGCCTTAAAGGTGATATAGCTATGTCTGTATTCCAGTTATCTATTGTCTTGTAAAAAACACTTCACAGGTCAGTGACTTAATCAGATAGTCATTATATTCTACCTCCAGGTTTAGCAGCTGGGAGATAGGCTGCTCTGGTTGGTTCAATAGAGCTGCACTCACACCCCCAGCACCTTAGCAGGGACTTTGGGAAGGCTGAGCTCAGCTGGGGCCCTTTCCCTTCCCCTTCCCCTTCCCATGTGGTTTCAGGACCTGTCCACCTGGTGTCTTCAGTAGGACAGTCAGCTCAGGCTCCAAGAGTGTGTATTTCAGGAGACAAGAAGAGGAACTTGCCAGTCTCTTTAGGTCTGAAGGGAAAGCCTGACACCATAAAAGTGTAAGAAACCTAGAAACTTACGTGGTGTCACTTCTGTGATATTTGATTGGTCAGAGCAGGTACAAAGACTGTGTAGTTTAAAGAGGAAGAGCCATAGACCACACCTCTCCATAGGAGAGTAGCTTAGTCAACCATAGTGTGTATTTGGAGTTTGTAAGGGAGGTTTTTCAAGATGGGAAATACTATATGGGAACATCAACCACCTCAGCTTGAGCTACACTTGGACTTGTTTTTGAAGCTCTCCTCCCTGTATTCAGTAGCACTGATTTTGTCTCCTACCATGACTGTGTCCACATGTCCAGTCTCAAGTCTGGCAGTTCCTCATACCATATACTTTTCCTTCCATGCTTTTGAGTACTTTCCCTATCCCTGCATATCTTTCTGCAAATCTGACTAACCAGTCATTTTATAGCTTTAAATTTACTTTCTTTGAGAACATTTCTTGATGATTCTGGGTAGACTTGAACAACCACTGCTCTCTCATAGACCATTACTTCTTCACAATTACACTACTTCACATTTTGTACCCAATTATAATTGTACCTTTATACCTCTTCCATCATTGTAACCTTCTTGAAGGCGAGGAGTGTGTCTTTTGAATCTAGTGCCTAACAGATAAAAATATCTGTGGAGTCACTGATTTTCCCCCACTAGATCCCTTTCTACATATTTCTCTTAACTAAATTCTAAGAGTACAAAGTGGTCAAATTCAGTTATAGGAAGCTTAATTCAAGATTACTCCAGATTAATAGTATATGCTATAATCATTGTTGAGTTGTAATCAAAATAATTAATGTAAATTTCTATTCTCCATATTTTATTCATTGTTACTACATTACTTTCTTCATAGGCCTCACAGAATCATTTTGGTTTAATATCAATAAACAAATATTTTCAATGCTAAATCCTTTGGCTACATATTTGTTACAAGTGTGATAGGACGAAATGATATGATAGCTATAAAAATCCATTTCAGATATGAGAAAAAATATTGAAAATAATGGTTGAGTGGTATATACTCATATAGCAATACAAATAAATAATTGCTTTATACCCTTTCATCACTCAGCTTAAAGAAATTATGGCATATGTGTCTATGTGGGTAACAGTGATTCTAGGTTATCTTTAGTTTTAATTTGTTTTCTTAGGTTAAAAAGTTTTTCAAAAAGGCAATATGTTAATTAATTCCATTAAACCATGGAATCCTCTGGTCCTACAATATATGTATCTGTCAATGGCTGTTGGCCTGATAGAATGTTGGAATTACCTCCAATGGTTGCAGATGTGGTGCCAATATGGACATAATACCAACCCAGTTTGGGTTGCGGTTCTTCGGAGTTTTGTGTACACCTTAAATCAATGCCCTCTCTATGGTCTGCCACAGGTGAATTAGACAGGTGTGGAAGCCAAGAAGTGGAAGGAGGAGTGGACTGTTCACCATCACTTCTAATAACTCACTTGGGGAATTCTGGTTTCCATTCCTATAACTTTTGGCTTTGTGGGTCCAAATATGCTGGATCATGGTGGAGTGACTCTGTCTCTAATGGACAGAGTTAAAGTCCTGCTTCATTTAATCATCCAGATGTCACCCAGTCCCTTCAAGCTCCTCATGAGATAAGACTAGGAGGAAAAGAAAGTTACAACACTGTCAGAGTAACTGAACTGATTATCAGGAGGAGAGAGAATTGCTAGATCGTAATGCAGAGTTACTCAGGGTCCCTGGAATCACCAGTCCCACATGAAGGGATTTAAAAGTTTATATACTCCCTCATCCAGCCCTGGGGTGGCATGTAGCCAATGACTGACAAGAGGGTGCAAAAAGGCATTCATCTTTTTACTGAAGGATGATTTACCTTTCAGAGCTTCCTGGAGCAGATGGCGTCAGAATGTGTCTGGAACTTTCCTGGTCTCTTTCCCTCTCCTCTCCTGCCTCCCAACTCTCTGACCAGCTTCTCCAGGAGCATTTCTAAACATATCACTTGCACTTGAATTCTTGGCACAGGCTATGTATTCTTCTTGGAGAACCAAATACAAACACCAATGTTTGATTTCGTAACATTCAATATCTTAGAATGAAAATTTGGTATGTAGAAATAAATTCCACAATGCAATACTGTTATGTTTTTTCATGAAATGACACAGAAAAGTATTTTCTATAGGGATTACTCATCTTGGCCATGTTCTAATTGTAATCCATACCATTTCTCTATGTGTTAGAAATTTAGACCTGTTACAAGGCATAAGTAAAATAGGGAAGAAAATACTTCATATGCTAGTGAATTAATAGACTAGTTTCTTCTTACTAGCTTTTTCAAATCCAGCCCCAAAGACCTAATGCCCAAGAAATATTACAAAAAATAATATAATATCTAAACCATTGATCTACATAAATGAGGACAAATATTTGTACATGGCACATATAGAGTCTTGGAGGAGCAATGAGACATCTTCCTCTATCTGTATTATGTGAATTGATCCTCAGGGACAGGCAGTGACTGATGCCACAACCAGGTTATACCTGGACTGAATCACATTTTGCATATTTTTCACCTGAATAACTCTATAGAGAGAGCATAATATTTTTAAATGCTATGCTGCCTGAAGTAACAGCTAAAGGTTTTTTTTTAATTTTCTTTCATTTTTAAAATAACAAACTGCCTGCAAATACTTAGAGCCATATTTAATATATATTTGTTGAATGAACAAATGAATAGATACATCCTATTTCTTTAAATAAAACATAAATTTCTTATTCTTTGCCAACTGTGGTAAAAGATACTTCTCTGCAGTAAGCTCCCAGATTTTAAATTAGTCTTTTATGATGAAGGAGAAACACTGATAATTGAGGCCAGATAAGGGCCAACTGTTAAAATCAGTTTAAGGTAATAATTAAAGAGGTGAAAATTGGATTATTGTAAGGTGACTCCTGCTGGGAAAATGTGTTTTGACTAGTGTGAAATTTATCTATATATAAAAATATGATTATTGGGTCAATTGAAAAAGCATATCCTAAAATCCAATCCACTTAAAATGTGGGAATTGTGTTGGATTCTTAATGATTTTTACCCTGTGTCTACTAAGACACTGTTGGCAACTGTGGAAAAGAAATGTGCATTAAACAAATGTCCAAGTCTCTTAGAAAAGATTCTCACTGCAGGGTAATCTTGTTGCTAACTTAAGGCAAAAAAAAAAAAAATTATGAAAGAACCATTTTCTATACCATGCATCAAAGACATAATACACCATAATTTATCTATTGTGACAATATTTCATTTTTCGCTTGATGATTTTGTGCTCTGTCAATGTGGGGGAAGGGCTCCTATGAGAACCTGAGTGGTTTAAGGATTATTGTCAGTAAACCTCAAGATGTAACTGGAGCGATAATGGAAAAATAATATTCTGTTGGAAATCTCTGGAGGTTTTGCTACATGAAGTATAATTGGAATGCCCTAGCAAACCAGTATACCAATTTCCAAATCAAGATTATTAGTCATAAAAAAAATATGGATACTTCAAATCCATCTTGGGAGTTTAATCAATAAAAACAGCAGATAAGAATACAGAAAACTGTCTGAATTTTGAAAGTCCCACTAGCAATAAATGTTTCTGAGGGAGAAAGAAACCCCCTTCATATTCATTATTTAACCACTTTGGTTTATTGATCTGACCTTTTAAGAACAAAGCATGGTATTCTGTTGACATAAAGCATTTTCTTGAATTTCTTTTACTGTTAAAACCCTTCAACTTCCAGATGTAAAGCCATTAGAGACAACCTAAGACTTTAATTGTGAAAAGATACAATTAAAAATTTTCTGAGGTAGGGATACTCTCTGCAAGTATATATTTAAATATAGCAAATAAATATATAGCATAATTATATTCTAAATACTAAAGAATAATTTTGGCCAAAAGGACATGAAGATTAAGTTTTAATTTTATTTACATCAAATGAATATTATAAAGTCTCCTTGAAAACATTTTCTCATAAGTGACTCAAAGCATTTCTTTTGCCAAGTATATAATTTCAAAAAATATAATTCATCTCACATTACATATACACATGAATTATTTGCTTCATAATTTAAAAATACAATTAATTTTTAAATATATGTGTCTCTATCTAGTATGAAATTAATAGAAACAAAATAATGTGTAAACAAACTCAGAATTTCTACAAAATGATGCAACTATTAACAAGAGTGGGCATTGCTATTTTGAGAATGGGAGCCCAAGATCTAATATTCCTAATATAAAATACACCTTTACATTCAGTGAATTTCTCTCCGCATAAGCTCTGACTTTTCCCTATATTACCGCCACCATGGCAGAGTGTAAAGTGGTTAGGAAAGAAATGACAATACCAATTCACAACTCTGGAACCCAGCTGGGATCAGCTGCTAAAGATATTTCTGATCAGAAATAAAGGAATAACCTGCATCAGCGGGGCTCTTCAGCTTTGACAGCAGGAAATCTCTTCAATCTGAAATCTGAGATACCCACAAAAATAACTGTCCTGCAATACTGTGACTCAGAAGGTGGCTTTAGCAATAAAACATGGCATCATCATGATTTTGTCTTTTTAGAATACAGACTCAATATACTTACTTCCATGTATGCTTACTGAGTTTCAAGAATTAATAAATGTGAAACATGGTGGTGTTCCCTTTAATGGTGTTATTCATCTAAGAAATTTAATTGTGCACATCACCCAACATAAGATTATTATTTTTTCTCATTTTTAAAAATTTTATTTTTTATTGAAGTGTAGTTGATTTACAATGTTCGTTTCAGGTGTACAGCAAAGCAATTTAGTTATACAGATATATATATACATTTTCTTTTCAGATTCTTTTCCATTGTATGTTTATTACAAGAAACTGAATATAGTTCCCTGTGCTATACAGTAGGTCCTTGTTGCTTATCTATTCATTTTTAAATTTAAATTTTTCCCCATTTTCTGCAACATTCATTTATTTATAATAATTTCTTTCTAGAGAAGCAGAGGATGCATTTATGTTAATCTCCAAATTTTCATAACAATGCATTGCTTCTTGGCTAGAAAATGGCCTGGCAATTCTGAGAAATTATTTAGGAACACAAAACTGATTGGATTAGAGTGTTAGTGCAAATAATATTATAATTTCTCCCCAATTTTTGGTCACCTACATGAATTCTCAGAGAAAAACTTCTCTGAAGAACATACCAAAGGCACCAGCATCCCTCTGAGGAAGCTCCTGTCCTGCCACACCCAGGGGTGGCTCTAGCTGACACAGGCACCTCTCCAGAGTGGCGCCACAGCAGTTGTGGCTGTACCCTTCAGTTAGCCAGGCCCAGTGCACAAGCAGGCCTCAGAGACAATCAGGACAAAGACCCACCCCATCACCACCATGTTTGCAGCAGTCTCAACCAAGCCACACAGCTAGTGAGCCCGGAGGCCAGCTCCATTGGCCAGTGCACCTCATAGCCAGCCGCCTGGGGGGTAACCCCACCCATCAGGGTGCCTGCAGCAACTGTGGCCAAATCACCTTATGCCCATTGCAGCATCATTTACAATAGCCAAGATATGGAAGCAACCTCTGTTCATTGATAGACAAATGGATAAAAAGATGTGGTGCATATACACAATGGAATTTTACTCAGGCATAAAAACAAATGGAATGTCCTGTATATATCTGTTAAGTCTAACTGGTCTAATGTGTCATCTAAGACTACACATTACTGTATACATAATAAACAACAAGGACCTCCTGTATAGCACAGGGAACTATATTCAATTTCTCATAACAACATATAATGGAAAAGAATCTGAAAAGAAAATGTGTGTATATATAAAATTCCATTGTGTATATGCACCACATCTTTTTATCCATTTGTCTATCAATGAACAGAGGTTGCTTCCATATCTTGGCTATTGTAAATGATGCTGCAATGGGCATAAGGTGATTTATATATATATATCTGTGAAACTAAATCACTTTGCTGTACACCTGAAACTAACATTAATTAATTTTTAGTTTATATTTACATCAAATCAATGTTTGAAAGTTATATCTGCTCTTTAATGAAGCTGATTTCCCTCTGGCATCCTGGTTACTCACTGCCTCTCTTCGGGAATTTCACAGGCCCCCCTCTGTTATTTCTTCATGCCTACTCTTGTCAAATTGAGTCAGCATCTCTAAACACATCTCCATAAGAAATATTATCCATTTCTTTGTTACAGAAAAAGCAGGAACAAAATTCCTATTTACACAGTCTTATTTATTAGCTAGATTTTCATGATATTTGGTCCTTCAGAAACAATGAAAGAGGCTTATAAAAATGCATCCAGAGAAAGGCAGAATACCAATGAAAAATATAAACTTAGAATTGGGAAAATATGAATCAGAATAGAATGAATAAAAGGTCAGGAAAAGTATATGTAGCAGATATCCAACAGGACATTTAGATTAGTTAAGATTAGTTAGATTGAGTTGAGACCCAAATACAATTGACTATCTTAGTCTAAAATAAAAAAGATCAATCATTAAGTAAATTAATTATACCACAGAGTTAAAACGTATGATTCATGCTGGAGTGTGGGAAGATGCCAGTCAAATGTAAATATCAGTTTGTTTGAGTTTTTAGAGTAGGTGGTATTGAATCAGTTTGTAACAATGGTTATACTGAAAGATCAATTTCCTGTCAACGACCCCCTTAGTTTATGACATATTAGCATATGGAATATCAGTATATTCAAGAGTACCTTCACATCTTTAGATCATCCATGACAGTGGAAGGCACAATTGAAAACACTGCTCACACGTCCCACTTTCAGGATATTTTGTTACTTTCCAATAGAGTTTTTATTGAGGCCAGTACTGGAGGAGACATGGCTGCCAGTTGACTGAGACCTGGACCTGGGCAA